GCAAGTGCAACTACAGCTACAGTTACAAGTTCAACTACACTACACCGGACTACAACTACAGCTACACTACAACTACAACTACCACTACACTACACCAGACTAGGCTACAACTACAGCTGCCACTACCACTACCAGTAAACTACACCACAACTACCACTACAGCTACAACTACCATTGCACTACAGCTACAACTTCAGCGACACTACAAAAACAATTTCCAAAACACTGCACTACAACTACAGCTAAAAACTGCAACTGCAACTGTAACTGCAACTACACCACAACTACAGCTACAACTCCTACAGCTACTTCAATTACTACAATTGCATGTTCAACTACACTTCAACTACGGTACAACTACAACATTACAACTTCAACAGCATCAACTACGCTACAACTACAACTACAAGTACAGCTACAAATGCAAGTGCATTACACTTCCTTACACCACACTACATCCTGCAGTTGTGGGTGAGGTAACCGCTGCAACCATTCCAAAAATAACAACCACCGTCGGTCCATCAGTGGATTCGCTCTGCCATCCGTGATTCGCAACAAGCAACCTCTCCTATATGTTTCCTATGTTTGAAACTTCCGCCGCCGCCTTGCGCGATACTACTGGTAGTAGTAGTTTATGCAGGAGTAATTTTTTATATATGTTCATACAGTAGTAGTTCACACAATCCGGTTTATGCCATTGAACTGAGGTTTTAAGCAGATGGTACTAACGTTAAGGAAAAAAAATATATCCCTATTCATGTTCTCCCATGATGCCATGGTTTTCAGTCTGCACCAGGACATCGAACTCCAGAGCCCGAACCACGGTCAAAACGGCTATGGCGGCTTTGGCGGCGAGCCCATGGTGCAAGGCGGGGAGGGTGTCACGAAACCCAAGTCGCAGCTGGTTCAAAGAGTGGTTTCTTGCAGTTCAACAATGAAAGTTAGCACAGAATTGCCATTTGAAAAATAGAAAGGTCATCCCATGGGAAAATTGGGTGCCACAATTTTCAGACAAACCCAAATGGAGCCTTTACTTCACCTCCATTCATCCCTCAGCCAGTGGGTTGCCAAGGCGTGAGTCCGATCTTTGCCTTGGTGAACCGGCCAGAGGCGATGGGTGAATTGTGTCGTTGGTGATTGCACGATAATTCTTCCATGGATCAATGGATCAAATTCGAAGGGTTCATCCAGGGTTTAGAAAGGGTTTGGATTGTAAACTAGTGCTACGGACAAGCGTGTCGTTCGGTCAGGGTGTAGATATAATGATTGAACATGATTGGACATGGGGATTTATACCAGAGTATGGGGAAAGTGATGATACAAATCAGTTGGATTTTCAGGATTTTGGGACAGACCCATTTAAGCACAGGTGTTCGTTGGTGATCGTTTCATGTGTGTTTTGGGCCACAGACGGTCAAGACTGGCACTGTAAGGCAGACAAGCAGCGGAGGGTCTGGATAAATGCCGCTTGGATACACAAAAGCTTTCGTTTTTTTGTCGCTTGTGTTTAGGACTCTGACTCTAATATGATCCGGTAATTCCAAATATTGCAAATCAACCAACAACACGCAGAAAACAAATATGAAAACCGAAGATCAAACATTTGAACTGAATTTTGATCAATAAACAACATTATACAGATTTGCCCAAACCGAGGCATTTCTCTGACTCTATCAATAAATATATATTTAAAAATATATTGAATTTATTTTCCTATATAAACCTATATATATAAATTCCGAAAATTAGCTTCCATAAAATTGGGAAACACTTCATTTTATTTTTTTTAGGACATTACCTTTGATTTTATTATTACCTCTTTATTTTATTTTTTTCCCTACCAGAATTGGATTTATTTTTATTTTTATTATATTATATATATATATTATATAATATAAATATAAATATGGGGAATTAAATTATTTTTATAATTTGGTTGAGGTTATATATTTTTTTATTTATAATAAATAAGGAATTTTTTGTAAGGGTGTGG